CCCCCCCCCCCCCCCCCCCCCCCCCCCCCCCCCCCCCCCCCCCCCCCCCCCCCCCCCCCCCCCCCCCCCCCCCCCCCCCATATCCATCTCTGTTTAACCCCTTTATATTATTTAGAAATTGTTGTTTTATTATATTAGATATACTTTTTCATATTTTTAAGAATATAGATAAGATTAGTTAAAAAAATATCATTTTTAATACTGTTACAAAAAAAAAATAAAAATGACATCGGAACTTTATAGCTTAGATTTCTTAAAATTATAATTTGTTCATTATTTTTTAAATGGGACATTTGTATAGATGGAAACATTTGAAATGCTTTTCATACGGCGAGGTTGTTTTTCTTCCTATGGAAAGCCAAGAGGTAAGGACATCAATTAAGGTATTGAGTACTTTCTAAAAGCCCACAATAATGTGATTAAGATGAAATCGTTCTATTAGAAAGATAAAATAAATTATATTTTTTAAATGAAAATAGTTTATTCGTGTTTAAATTAAAATTAACAAAGCAAATATAATCATATATACTACATAAGGATAGGAAGACAAAATCGAAAATACATGTTAAGAGTGGAGGTTTCTAAAATTTATGAATATGGAGTGAGAATCTCCATTATTATTATAAATTTTGCGGGAGGTATTCATAATATTACTCTTTTTTCTTCCAAAGAAGAAGAAGAAGAAAGAAAGAAAATAGTCGATGCATCAGATTAAATATTTTTAAAATTTGACTTCCGGAATTTTGTATATGTAGAAAAGTGGCTTCTCATGGCCTTGTGAATTTTGTAGAAGTCACTTAAGTGCATGTAAAATTATTCAAAGAATGGAAAAGATTTTAAGTATTTATAAGTTAATCAAATATTATTTTTAATTTCACATTTGTTGATATTCATAATTTTTTATTTTTTATTTTTAGTTACTCTATTTGTAAGCGCTTAATAATTAGCCAAAGCAGCACTTCGTGACTTTTATATCGTTACTCATCAAATTGAACAAAAATTTAGCGGTACAATAGGGATATCATGAACACCCTATGAATTTTTGTAATGATACTACTACTTTTTAAGAAAAATAAACACTTAAAAAATTCCATTTCAGTACGTAAGGTTCAAAATGTTTCTTCTCCCTCACCTTTTCCAAGAAAAATATATACTTAAATAGTAATGTTATTTGTATATCATTGTGTACATTATAGTATATAGATAAATAACATGGAAGAGAGAGAATTAGTATAATAATTGATAAATGAGATTTTGTTTTCTTCCGATCTCTTCTCTCTCTCATAATGGTGTACAAATAGAATCACTCTTTTTTAAAACGGTTGTTGTATATGATGATCGAAGATCCTGGCTTGACAAATTTGACATAATGGTGTACAAATAGAATCACTCTTTTTTAAAACGGTTGTTGTATATGATGATCGAAGATCCTGGCTTGACAAATTTGAGGCCCTTATCACTTAGCACGAATGGCATCAATTCTTGTCGTTAAGCGATAACGCTCGAAAACAAGTACAAAGCTATTTCATTAGTTGAAAAAAAAAAAAA